CCCCTGGAAGACAGCAGGCGGCCAGCCCAGGGCAGACAGCATGGCGATTTTGTTCATAAACTGTCCTGGGCAGTACAAGCTTCACCATGGCCTGAGTGTTCTGCACGACCGTGAGGGCGGATTCTTGACGACCCAGCATGATCCGTCTTTCCCTGTCTTCGACTACACGAATGGCCCTGGGAAGATGCTTCAGACTTACGTGCCCAAGGCTGAGCCCGTTGAAAACAAGATGCGCGCCTTCCTGACGCCATCTGGCGAATCCTTGACCGCAGTTGCGGAGTTCGAGCAAAGGATGGCGCGCAGGGAACGCGACGATTGGGTGCGCCATCCCTTCAGAGTGAAGCAGGGCAACCTCGACGACAAGATATGGCATGGCGCCTTCGGCAGGGCGAGGCACGGAGCGCACTTCCCTCTGGTGGCTTTCACGCACAATACGTGCCGCAGGTCACCTGAAAGACTCGCCGCGAGGTTGGAACGCAGGAAGGGCGGCAGGAAGGGCGGCAAGAAGGGCGGCAAGAAGGGCAGCTACGCGGACACCGCAGTTGCGGGGAAGGGCGTCCGACCCCAGATGGGAACCGCAGTTGCGGGGAGAGACGCTGGGGCTGAGCGAGCTGGGAACACGCCACCGCCGCAAGCTGCCAACGGCGACGATGCGACCCCTTCTTGGCCGCAGTGGCGGCTGGGTCCTGGGACGCCAGCGGCAGCGGCGCATGGGAGGCGCGCAGTCCCGCCACGAGATGGCAGGGCTGGTCCTGGTGGGACTGGAGCTCGAGCGAATGGGGCGCTGATGGCGCGCAGTGGTGGCCCTCTGATCATGCCGCAGTTGCGGACAATGCCCCTGAGGGCTCGCCTCCTCAGCGTGAAGTCGAGTGGGGCTCGAGCGGGCGACCTGCCGAGCGCCCTCCGTGGAGCTTCGAGGGGCAGTGTTGGTGATGGCCGCAGTTGCGGGCAAGTGGAACATGATGTTGATTGCCGCAGTTGCGGACAGTGTACGCTGGAAAAATCATCATCATCATCAATCATAATCATCATCATATCATCATATCATACGTTCAAAGCAGTGCCGGGGCACTGCTTTGAACGCGTTCAAAGCAGTGCCGGGGCACTGCTTTCGATCGTCGCCTCGTCGCAGTTATAAGGGCTATTGGATTATTAGCGCGCGCGCTCTCTGTCGAAGTCAAAAGTAACAGTAGTTCTTCAACCGTTTCATCAATTCGACCAAGCGGGCCTCTCGCTCGCGCTAGTCGAAACCATTCGAACGCCCTTGTGCGCGTGCTGAGGGTAGGGCGCGACCCTTCTGAAATCGTATCAGTGGGCCCCTCGCGCGCGTCGGCCGCGCGCACATGTCGACATCTTTCCAAGCCATCCGTGACCGACGCGAGGTCCCCATTATCGTTTTCGGCGTGATCACCATCGGCGCCGTCATTGGGCTTGCTGTCGACATCGTCATGGTCATCGTCGTCACCAACATCGTTACTATCACCATCACCGTGCATACCGTTGTCGGCGTACGAGACGCGCTGGGAAGTGCCCGACGGTCACCGGCACCGCGGCCGCGTCGGCCGCGCCAAACTACATGGCCGCTGCGCGCGAGCCTACGCGCGCCAGCGCGGCCGCAGCGATGCATCAGCCAGCGCCAAGCACCCATCGCAATCGCCGCCGCATGGGTTTTGCAAGACGAGCTGATTCGAAAGGAATAAACTGCACCACGCGAATTTTGCGCACACAAAATCAATACCGATAGCATGTTGATTTGTTTCATATATGCGTCACATAGGTTGCACCATATAGATCGTTTCACACATTTGTGCACCACGCCATTTCACAACATCGGTTGCACGTCGAAGACTGCGCCACATGGAGTGCCCCACCTAAATTGCCCAACGCGCGCTGCTACAAACTTTGCTTGGCGCCCACGGTGGCTAACACTGGCACTTTCTAGCTACACTGCGAGAGACGGTTTGCTTCATGACCTGGGTCCGTGCCGTGATCTTGTTTCTTTATTTTACCTCTTCGAGGCGTTTCGTCTTCCTTCCTTCCGGCGTGGTGGACTCGATCGTCGATCGGGGGGGGGCGCTGCTGTTTCGTCTCCGGCCCCTTGGTCCCGTTCTCTATCGCCTGTGGCGCGGGTTTGTTGCAGGGGGGGGGGGCATTGCCCTGCATAGCACCTCTCCAATGAGAGACAGACGCGAAGAGCAGCATTCGGGCTGCGAGGTGACTTGTCGCCGCGCCTTGTCGTTGCGAACGAACGTTTTTCGGCGAGACCTGCGTGCCCCCAATGGAGAAGAGCAGCCCGCTTTGGGGGAAGAGGCCGGATGAGGGTGTGTGTTTTTCCTGTTTGCCGAACGTCTAGCATGACCTGCGGACGCCACAAGAAGAGTTTTGCCCTCGGGGAATTGTCGTGCAACGTCGCGGTAGAAGGGATATTTTCAAGTGCGTCACAAACAATCCTGTGTAATGCCATTACGAAAACAAAAGAGTCTTTGTTATACGGAGACACAGAGGACACCAGGTTGTAAAGCCGCCGCGCAGGGAATCTTGTTAATAACCCCGCGAAGATAATCTTTTTGCAGGGCACCCAGATTCTTTCTGGCAGCCAGCCGCGGAACACAGGAATAACAACGAACATGTGCAAACATCGCAAGCACAACAGAAACCATATAAAGCTATAAACATTGATCGTTTACTATCGCTGCCCTTTGGTCCTCACTCTTCGCTGCGTAGTCACAGTTTTGTTATGTTGATTCCACTGTTTTCTGGTGTTTTCATTGTTTTCATTGTTGTCATTGTCTTTAGGAGAGATTATAGGATTTGCCCCGGCACCAACATGAATATTTTTGTAGAGCCGCCACATAAATAATCCCTTGTGTAAGGCAGCCGCAAACCAGGAATGATGATGGTAAGGCCGCCACACAAGGAATCTCTTGTTGTAGAGTCGCCACACAAATAATCCTTGTGTAAGGCTTGTGTAAGGCTGTGGCAAAAAGGTTTGCAGGATTGCTGGGTCATTTTCGACAGTCAGCCGCAGAAGTCAATAATCACAAGGAAAATGAGAAAACATGGAAAGCACAACGAACAAACATGGATCGCTGTAAACACTGACTGTTTACTATCGATTCCCCTTGATCCTCATGTTGGTTCAGTTGTCAAAGCTCTGTCATGTTGATTACATTGCATTGCTGTCTTTGTCTTCTGGAGAGATTATAGAAGATGCTCTGGCACCAATACAATAATCTTGTTGTAGAGCCGCCATATAAATAATCCCTCGTGTAAGGCAGCCGCAACACAAGATTCTGTTTGGTAAGGCCGCCACACGAGGAATCCTTTTTGTAACGCCGCCAAAAAATCATCTTTAAGGCTTTGGCAAAAAGGCTTCGTTTGCAGGGCTGCTGCGGGCGATTTTCAGCAGTCAGCCGCGGACACTTACGGAAAACAATGACAAATTATGAAACCAAGGAACACACTTTTTCCTGAGCGTCCCACCCTCCACGGGGGGAAGTGGCTGTCGAACCCCGTCCGGAGAAAACAGTCGTCGGGAATCAGAGGACCGGCCACCTCTGCCGACGTCGCCATCCCGCCGATCACCCCTCGGCGAGCGCGGGCGCGCAGCAGGCAATGGAGGGCGAGCTGCAAGCGCCGAGCGTGTGGCACTAAAAAGGCAGGTGAAACAGGGAGGAGGAGGAGCCGGGGGAGGAGGAGGAAGGCCCGCTCACGGCCCCCAAGGCAGCCGGCGCGGCTGGGAGCGCCCCCGCGCCCAGCCACCAGCATGCTGCACGGCGTCGCCCTGCTTGACGTCACAGCGCTGGTCCGTGCCAGAATGCTCGCCATCCCACTCGGACAGATGGTACTCTCAGGTCCCGGCGCTGGCGATGCTGCTGGCACAAGCGCTGGCTCCCATGCGTAGCCACCTACTCCGCCCCGTGCAGGAGGCAATCGGCCATCGGCTTAAAGAGTCTCGGGCCCACCAGGTCGCAGTCGGGAACATGCAGCATCTGCCACTCGCTCCGCAATTGGCGGCATGGTCCGCTCGCACGTTCAGGGACGAGATGGCGTCGATGCTGGCGTCGGTGCTGGCGTCGGTGCTGACGCCGGCGCTGGCGAAGGCGCCAGTGTTCCTGCTGGCGTCGGTGCTGCCGTGGTGCTCGTGTAGGCGCTGGCAATGATGCCGGCGTCGGCGCCGGCGGTTGGCCTGGCGTCGGTGCTGACGGCTTTGCTGGGTGGCGCAGGCGCTGGCGCGGGTGCTGGCACCAGCGTTGCCGTCGGTGCTGATGGAGGCGCTGGCGCTGGTGCCAGCGGAAAACTGGCGTGGGTGCTGACTGCTTCGGAACTGGCGCCGGCGCTGGTGTAGGTGCTGGCGTTGGTGCCGGTGTAGGCGCAGGCGGTGATGCCGGCGTCGAAGCTGGCGTCGGCGCCGGCGTAGTAGGCGCCGGCGATTGTGCTTGCGTCGGTATGCTGGCTCCCATGCATAGCCACCTAATCCGTCAAGCATTGGTGCTGGAGTCGGTGATGGCGGCGACGGTGGCGAAGGCGCCGGCGTAGGTGCTGCTGTCGGCGCTGGCGCCAGCGCTGGTGTCGGTGCCGGCGTTGGGGTGGATGTAGGCGCCGGCGTTGGTGCTGGCGTCGGTGCTTGAAAAGGTGCTGGTGCAGGCGCTGGCGCTGGTGCCGGCCTCGGCGCAGGCGCTGGTGCTGGCGTCGGTGCTGGCGCCGGCGCTGGCATTCGCGCCAGCGTTGGTATCGGCGTCGGGGCCTTCTCGACTGCCTCCTTGCCCTCCCCCTCCTTCTCTGCCTGCTCCACCTCCTCGGCCTCCACCTCCTCCACCGCCGCCTCCCTGGTCCTCCGCCTCCTCCACCTCGTCGCCGTCACCTGCCGGCTCTCTGGCCGCTGCTGCTCCCCATCGCGATGAGCGACGTCTGGTTGCCTGCCGCCGTGAACAGCGAACGGTCGAGCTACAGCCGCCCGGTGCGCGACTGCCCCGCAGGTCGTCCGTCTCGCGGCCGGGCTACAGCCACCTGGTGCGCGACTGCACCCGCAAGTCGCCCTGCGCGCGGAGCTCCGCGGCCCACTCGACGCCCTCCGTGGCGAGGGCGTCGGCGCCGCTGTTGAGTCTGCGGCGGACGGCCTGGAACTCGAGAACCCAGCCCTCGGCCGCAAGAGGCGCCAAGCCCTCCTCGATCTCGGCCTGGAGCTCCAGCCGCCGAAACCGGCCAGTGCCGGCGCCGTAGCGGATCGCCGCCGTGTTGTCGCCGGCCACGCGGGCGCGGCGGAAGGGCAAGGCCAGGCCCCGCAGCAGGCCGAGGCCGTGGCGACATCCGACGGCCTCCGCGGGTTGCGAGCCAGGTCCGGCTGGAAGTGCCACTACCACCTCCGCCACTCTGGTAGGGGCGCCTCCGGCGAGGCGGTGGCGCCAGAGGATGGCGCCCGCTCCGCTCGCTTCCTCGCCGTCGAACCGCCGCGAGCCGCCATCGAAGGTGACCTCCAGGGGCCATGTCGCATCCTCGTGGGCTGGCGACGGCGACCACGCCACAGTCACCTCTTCGTCGGGCAGAAGGCGCTGACCAGCTCTCAGGCACGCCCGGGAGCAGCGGCAGTGAGGGCAGTGCTGGACCGACCACTCCGCGGTGGCCAACGCCGGAGGGACACGACGAGGCCGGGGCCACCAGCCGGCGCCTGCTGGAATCCAAGCTGCAGGGCTGCTTTGGCCGTGAGGCATCCGAGGAGGTCGCCGGGCGCGGCAGAGCGCCGGGCCACCGCACGTCGAACCATGGCGCCGCCTCCACGTTCCTCGCGCGCCAGCGCGGCAGGGACCGCCGAAGAACGCATCCCGAGGGCGGGGGCCGCAATCGCCGCGCAGTCCGGACAGGACGGATCGGGCGGGCCCCAGGCGTCTGGGCAAAGGCCGGCTGGCTGCCGAGCTGGGCCCGGCTGCGCGTGAGTGGCCGCGGCGCCGTCGCCCGCGTCGGGGTCATCGAGGTCGTCGTCGTCGCTGTTGTCCGCGTTGCCGCGCGCGCTGGTGGCCGCGAAAGCCCGGACCAGCCGCCGTGCCGCGTCCGGACTCTGGAGAGTGGCCCTGCCCAGCAGCGACATGTAGTGGAAGACCAGCTGGTGAGTGAAGGCGGCCACTGGCTGGGCCAGGTCGCCGGGCGCGCGCAGCGCCTCGCCGAAGGCGGGAGCATCGGCGGCAGGGAACAACCGGCGCCACGCGAGCGCCACGGCCGGGCACCAATGCCAGAGGTGCTCTGCTCCGGCCTCCCCGGCGCCGCAGAGCGGGCACGAACCGTAACCGCTGGGGCCCCAGGCGTCCGGTGGAGCGAGGCGGGGCCGCGCGGCCTGGAGACGCGCCGCGTCGGCGCGGAGCTCCTCCGGCAGCAGATGCAGCGGGCGGGCAGCCCATGCGTGCCCGTCGGCCCACGGCCCGAAGCAGTCCGCACACCACTCCAGCGCGGGCTGCCCGCTGTGAGCGGTCCGCCAAGCGTGGCAGGCTGGTCGGGCGCACACGCAGCACAGCCGGGGCGGGCGCTCGTCCGAAGGCCGCCACCGAGCCGCCCCGGGCAGGCCGTTTGCCAAGAAACGCAAGATGTGGAAGGCCGCCGTGTAGCTCCGGGCCACTCCGAGGAGCACCCACTCGTCACCGAGGCTGGGCGCCCACCGTCGCGTTGTGGAGCGCTCCAGTAGCCAGTCCCCGAGGCACCGAGCGCGGGCGGCCGCCCAGGCCGCCACGTAGAGCGCTCGGCCGAGGCGGGCGGCGCGAAGGCGCGGCTGTGGCCAAAGCCGCGCGCCGGCGGCGCGGCGGAGCTGGAGCGCCGCGTCTGCGAGGCCGAGCGGGCCCCCGCGCGGCCGCGGGGCAAGCGGCGCCGGCTGGGGTTGCTGAGCCCACTGCTGGAGGCGGCCCCACCACCACCCAAGCTCCTCGCGCAGCGGGCGGGGGCCCCAAGCGTCGCGCCGCACCGAAGCCAACGCCGCAGTGGCACGGGCGGCGGCCACCGGGCATCTCGGCGCCCCGCGGGCTCCGCAGTAGGGGCCGATTCCTGTGGCCACCCACGTGGGACACCAGCGCGTGCCTGCGATGCGGAGCGCCGTGGCCATCGCATGGGTCGCGGCGGACTCGTCCGCCGGCAAGGGGAGCCCGACGTGCGTGGGGTATTCCGTCAATGGTGCGGCGTAGGAATTCCAAGCCGCCGCGCGGCGTCCGGGGGAGCCGACCGCCCCGCCGAGGGCGGCGCCCCGCTCGCGAAGTCGGCCGGAGGCGCGGCGCCAAGAACCCTGCCGCACCGCCGCAAGGGCGCCCGCGGACCACCCCCTCGGTGCGCCAGCCGCCAGTGCGCGCGAGCCCAAGGCCGCGCCCAAGTACGGCGAGGCCGGGCGCGCGGCGGCGCGGCCGAAGGGCGACGCCGCCATGCAGGTGGCCCAGCGGTCCAGGTGTGCGGCTGGCACCAATGCTGTCTTCACAGAGCAACCGCACGCGCGCCCGAGGATTCGCCAGCCACGGACCGCGTCTTCCCCGCATCGGTGCGCCAGAACGTCCCGGACCAGCTCTGGAATCAGGCCGGTGATGTGCAAGTCGCCGCCGTTGTCCACCATGCTGACGGGGAGGTCCGCGCCCGTCCGCCGCACCGCCAAAGGAGCCCCCGGCAGTGCCAGGAGCGCGCAGGAGTGCGCCTCGACACACAGGCCGGCCACCCAGGAAGCGTACACCAGGTAGATGGACACCCGCAGGGCCTGGCGGGGTCCCACCACGAGGCAGGCGGTGTCGTCCATGAAGGCGGGGTCTGCCACTCCGAGCGCGCGCTGCAGCCCCGCGATGATGGGGTCGTAGCAAACGTTCCACAGGAGGGGCGAGGCGGTGCCGCCCATCCCGATTGATCGTCTGAGGCGCCTTGGGGGCCCGCCCCGGCCTGCCCGGAGGGCCCGGACGCTGCGGTCCACCACGAGACTTAAGAAGCCGTTGGTGACCCAGGCTGGAAGGCGCCATCGCTCGAGCAACTCGCGGAGCCAGGCCCAAGACACCCGTTCGAAGGCCTTTGATTGGTCCGCGCACAATGCCGCAGTGGCCAGACGAAGGTCGCCCTCCTCCACCTCGCCGATATGGCGCTCGATCGCTGGTGCGTCTGGCCCAAGAAGTGCCTGCCAGAGCGGGCCTGGCGGAGAGGCTGGGCGCGGGGCCGGGTCCTCCAGGTGCCGGAAAGCGGCCGCGATGTTGGGGCCGCGCGAGCCGCCCGCGACCGCCGCCTGCCCCTCAGCGAATTGGGCCTCGAGGGCCGGGCCTGCGGCCGAGGCAAGCGCGGCGCCGTATAGCCTCCGGAAGCAAGTCGGCAGCTGGAGGGGCCGCATGTCGCCCGCTTGCTCCCCATCGGGCTTCTTCAGTATCCATATGAGCAAGTCCACCGATGGGCCCAGCACGGTGGGAAGCACTTGCGGCCACAACTGCGCGGCATGGAAGGCCTGTCCCAAAAGCGCAGCCACGAAGCGGGCGCCGATGTGATAGCACTCGTAAGGCTCAGCGTCCAGGCCGGCGGCGGAGCCGCAGGGCCCAGGCACCAAGGAGGCAAGGCGCCGCCAGCGCGGCCGCGGGCGTGCTGGCAAGTCCACCGCGCGGTGCAAGAAATAATCATCCAGGAGAGCAGAGGCCCGGGCAGGTGTGGGCGGCGCTGAGCCCCACAGCGGTTCCCGATTCTCCCAAAGGATCGCCTCCACTTCAGCTGGCTCGTCGTGCCACCGGCCGTGGGCATCGCGGACACCGCGGAGTGAGTGGACGCGGTTGAAAAGCTGGCGCCCTATGCGGAAGGGCTCAGCGAGCGCGGGCCTGGCCGCCGAAGCGCCGCGCTCCCACGGCCGAAGCCGCACTCGGCGGTGGTGGTGCTGCTCCCGTTGCCACAAGGCGAGCCATGCGGCAAGCGCCTCCTGGTTCAGCTCGCGGCCGTCCCAACCAAGGGCGCGCATCCACTCGCCAGTAGGTCCAGAAGGCGCATGGGTACCACCACGGGCGGCAGCGCGAGCAAGCTCCGTGCCAGGTTCCGGCAGGGGGCGCCGCCTGCGCCAGTCCTCCCACCAGCTGGCCAGCATAGCCGAGAGGGCGGCACGCCCATACAGCATCAGGGCAGGGAGGACGGGAACCTCCTGGCCGGCGTCGTCGGCATCTTCTCCACCTCTTCTTCCTGCTGCAGCAGCGCGTCCCCCTCCAGCACCCTCGCCTCCGGGTAGGTCGGCCTCGCTTGCAGGAATCTCCTGGCCGGCGTCGTCGGCATTTCCTCCTCCTCCTCGTCTTCCTCCTCCTCCACCTCCTCCTCTTCCACGGCGCCTGCGCCCTCGCCCTCCTCCATCCCCTCCAGGCGGGTCAGCTGCACCTTCGCCGTCGGCTCCGGGCGGGCCGTAGTCTGTGCCGTAGATGTCCGCGTTGAGCCTGTCATGCAACGCGTCCTCCGGGCCCGCCGGTCGGTCTCCCCATGCCGCAGGGCGCAATCCTGAGAGGTCGACGTCTGGGAGGTCAAACGCTTGCCCCAGCAGCGCGTACCGCCTCCGCAAGTCCATGAAGGCCTCCTGGGGGAGGGCCTTGAACGTGGCCGGCGTGAGAGTACCGCCGTACCCTGCTGCACCTCAGGGCCGGCGAGAATAGCGGCATGATCGGAGAGGGGCAATCTCCATACCAAATGTGGTCTCCAGCGCCACGCCTCGAGCGGCGCCGCCACGAGATCCAGCTGAGCAGGAGGGCCGCGCGCTCCGCGTCGTGTGACCGCGGCGCCAGTGACTGCGGTGAGGCCGTGTGCGTGGAGAAGTGCATGAAATTCCGCAGCCAGCTCCTCCTCCCCGTCCCGCGGCTCGTGCAACTGGAAGTTCACATCGCCGCCGAGGTAAGTGGCCACCTCGGGGGCTGCAGGAAGAGCCGCACGCACGGCCGCCAGGGTGGCGCGCTGTGCGCCCGGCGGCAAGTACAAGGAAACGAAACGGACCAAGGAGCCGGCGATGATCGTGTGGACGGCCAGTGCACACCCAGGCACTAGCTCCGCAACGGTCGTCGCCTGCAGCGTCGCCGGGAGCAGCACGGCAACGCCGCCGGTAGCTCCGCCGCCTGGCCCAACCTGTGCCGGAGAAGAGTGGACCGTGGCCGGCGGAAACTGGGCTGCCCACAGCGCCTGCTCTGCTGCGCCCCAGTGCGTCTCCCCGAGCAGGACGATGCGCCCAGCGTCGAGCCACCCCTGGACCATCCGGCGCTTGGCCGAATTGTTCGTGGCGTGGGGGTCGACCAGCCACCTGATGTTCCAAGCGGCGAGGCGGAGGCCGGCGCCCGCGCGGTCCTCGCGCAGCGCGGCCAACAGTTGCGAGAGGCCTCGGCCTTCGCAAAGGCGGCCCCATGTGGCGCCCGGCGGCACCCGGGACCTGTGGAGGAGCAGCCACAAGGCGTTCGCCGAGCGGACCCTCGCTGACACCCCAGCGGCAGCGAGAGCGACCGCAAGCCTGTCCCGGACCGCTGCTCAAGCACGCGCGCGGGCCTGGGGCAGTGGGGCGCCCGGAGGCGGCCGCCCGAGGGCGTCCAGGAGGAGGGCGGCGTCCGGATCCATCACTGGGCGCGGCGGCCGTCTTCGGCCGCTGGGGGGTGAGCTGCAGCAGCGTGCGCAGCACTGGAGGCCGGCAGACCGGCTGCGGCGGGCACCGCGGGTGCGGCGGCCGGAGCGGATGCAGGACCGTCCTGCGGATGCTCCGCATCAGGTCCGGCCAGGCGCTGGGCGGGTCGCCGTGCGCCAAGCATGTCGCCGACCAGGTCGAGCGGTACAGGCCACTCGCGCGTGGGGCGGGGTGGGCCAGGAAGGCCGTCCACGTCCGCAGCAAGCCGGCGGTGCTGGGAGAGCAACGCGGCTGGCGCGTGGTACGCCCGCGGATGCCCTGTCCTTCCCTGGAGCCAATCGCGTAGTGGTCCGCGGAGCCGCACCTGCAGGGCGGTCACGTCCAAATGGCTCCCGACCGCATCGAACAACTGTCGGGCCTCCAGTCCGAGCCCCGCGAGATAGGGCCCATGGCCCGTGGCAGCCGCGCGCTCTGCGGGGGAGGGCATCCTCACCCCGTGGGCTGCGCCGTGGGTCTCCACCCAACAAGCGAATCTCTGTGCCTCGAGGTTGTTCTCCAGCGACCTCCCTCCCAGGACGAGCCCGAAGGCGGGGAGGAGGTGCCTGGGGAGGATGCGGCGGAATCGGGCCGCGACGTCGTTCAGCGTGAGCTGCCGCCAGGGCGCGTCGGCCGCGTATAGCATCGTGCGCGGGTGGTACTGGGGAGTGCTGTGCCGAATCTGATCCCCGAGCCCTGTGGAACGCGTCATCGGCGGAGTACCTCCATCGTCCCAGTGGGGTGCGAAGCCGCCCTCCCAGGGAGCCGGCCGGCGGACAGGCGCGAGGCTGGGATCCAGCACGATCGGCAGCGTGCTGAGGTAAAGGCGCCTCCGCGGGAAAGGAGCCCATGCCCTGGAGTCCACCACCAGTACGTGTCCACCGTCGTCGAGATCGCCGAGGGCCCTGGTCATCGCCGCCCTATGGAGGGGGTGGGTGGTGGCTGCACTTTCCACCACGGCGTGAACGTGACAGTCGGGCCGCAGGCCCTGCAGGCTCCAGACAACCAGCGGTATCGTCCAGAAGAGGTACGAGTCGTCGCCGCATAGGCCCTGGCGGCCTTGGTGCGGGCCCGCGGCATGCAGCTGCTGGGGAGGGGTGCCGGCGATCACCAGCACTAGGCTGCCTGGCGGGAAGCCCCGGCCGAAGCGGGCCAGCGGAGGGTCCGCCCCGCGGAAGAGGTCCCAGATGTCGCCAGCGAGCTTGACGTGAGGCGTCGTACCTGTGAGGCGAGCCTGGGTGGCCCAGCTGCGCTCAACCGCCGCGGCAAGTGTCGCGTCAGCCTCGGCGAAGCCTGACTGGGCTAATCCAGGATGGCGGAAGTCCCGCAAGAGTCCGTCCAACGCCACGCGCGTCATGCCAAGGCTGTCGAAGAGCGAGAGCAAGCAGACCGGCTGGGCAGGCAACGCGGCGGCCGTGTCGCTGGGCGCCGCGGCCTGAACGGCGGGCTGGTCCAGGAATCCAGCCCAGCTCTGGAATGCAGGGTCGCCTGGGCCCGTGGGGTCGCGGTCATGTCCAGGTGCCGCCGTTTCCGCTCCCGCCTGCCGGACGCGCATGCGGCGAGGCAAGGGGGGCCAGGCCCCGTGGGCGACGTCCTCGAGGCCCGGCTCGGCGGGCACAGGGGATCGGCGCCGGACTCCCGCCAGTCGCGGGGCAGGGCCAGCTGAGCCGCGGCGGCGGGCCGCAGCGCGGGCCCCGGCGCCGCTAGCACCATGTCCGCGCCCTCGGTCGCGGCCCCGGCTGCCGAGGGGCGCCGTCGCAACTGCGCCGTCCGCGCGGTCCCCGGACGAAGGGGGGGCACCTGGTGCCGCTGCGGCGGGCGCTGCTGGTGTGCCCGGCGTGCTCCGGACGGGGTTCCGTGACGTCGATGCTGGTGGTACCGGCGCCGGTGTTGCTGCTGGAGTCGGAGCTACTGGCGCTGACGTCGGTGCCGCTGGTACTGACGTCGGTGCTGCTGGTACTGACGTCGGTGCTGCTGGTACGGACGTCGGTGCTGCTGGTACTGACGTCGGTGCTGCTGGTACGGACGTCAGTGCTGCTGGTACTGATGTCAGTGCTACTGGTGCTGACGTCGGTGTTTCTGTTGGAGTCCGAGCTGATGTCAGTGCTGCTGGTGACGGCGGCGCTGGTGCTGGTGCTGGCGTCAGTGTTGCTGCTGGTGCGGGCGCTGTCGTCCGAGTTGGTGCTGGAGCTGACGCCGGTGCGGCTGCTGGTGCTGGCGTCGGTGCTGAAACCGGTGCCGACGTTGACGTCGGTGCTACTGCGCGTCCTAGCGCCGGTGCTGCTGCTGTCGGTGGTGCAGCTAGGTCTGGAGCCACCGTCGGTGCTGCTGTGGACGTCGGTGATGCTGCTGGTGCGGACGTCGGTGCTGCTGCCGGTGCTGGCGCTGACGTCGGTGCTGCTGCTTGCATGGTCGTCGGCGCGGCCGTCTGGCCGGATCCGCCGCCGCCATTGCGGTCACTGCTGAGGGCCTGACCGTCGCCCGAAAGGTCTGCAACAGCACCAAGATGCAACGCCCTCGCTCCGCCTTGGTGGGCAAGCTGCCCGGGATGCTCTTCTCCGAGGCGCAAGGGGGCAGTCTGGCCCGGGGCAAACAGCTGCGGCCGCCCTTGTGGCGGCAGTGTCGGGGGGGCCTCGGCGGAGGCGGGGCCGGCCCTGGGCGCGGCAACGGCTGCCGGCGCGGGTGCTACTGGCGAGACTGGAAGCACGGGCGCTGGCGCCGCAGCACCAGTTGGCAGCGCGAGCGCGCCCGAAGGGCCGGAGAGCGATCCGGTGGCGGGCGCTGCAGGGGGAGCCGTGCCAGCGCTGGAGGCTAGCGCTGCTGCTTGCACGAGTCCATGCTGCGGGCGACCGTTTAGGTAGCCACCGCCTGGCGGCGGGGTGGCTCCCGCTGCAGCGTCTGCAGGGGGAGGGGCCGCGGCCGCGGCAGGAACCTGCGCAGTGGAGGGCGCGGGGGCGCCGAGGGTGGCGCCATCAACGTCCATTCCACTGGTCCCTCCAAGCCCGTCCTGCCCGGCCGCGTCGGTGGCGCTCGCTGCTGGCGCCGCCGGCGCCGCTGGGCTCACGCCAGGTGCCTGGGCAGCGAGCGTCGCGTGAACCAAAGCGTCCAAGGCCGCGCTGGCCTCTGCTGACAGTGCGTAGCTGGTGTGCCCGTGTCTGCGGGCGCTGGCGGCGTCCTGCACCCGGCTGCCTGGGAGCGGCACGCCTGGCCTCACGCCGCGCCGCCCGTGCTGCCACGGCTCGAAGGGCTGGCGCCGGCGGGCAGGACTGCCAATCTGGAGCTCCGTGAGGAGGTCCTCCGCGGCACCGGCGTCCTGTTGCCACAGCTGCGCGATGCCCAACACCTCCAGCAGCCAAGCAACGATCAGCATCGCCCACTGCCACCTGATTGGGGGTTGCGGGCGCTGGGAAGCCGTGATGTGGGCCACCAGCCAATGCGCCAAGAGATCCGCATATCGGGCCGCTGGCGTGTCCGCGACTGGCTGAAGCGCGAGCCGGGCGGCCGCCCTGGCTGGGTCCACCAACGCCGACGGGAGAGGGCCTGGTGGAGCTGGTGGATCTCCGAGGTGCTGTAAACGCTCCCGGAAAGTACGGGGGTCACGAGGCGGGGCGGTAGGAGCTGGTGCTGCAGCTGCCGGCGGCGGCGCCGCCGCGGCTCGCCGGGTCGCCAGCGCAGGGCCCGAGGGAGGGCGCCGGGCGACCCACACAGGGCCATCGGCCAGCTCCACGTCCACGTGCAGGAATCCATCGAGTTGGTGAGCCGCGGCCCGGCCGTCAGCCTCGGCGGGGTGCACCACCGCGATCCACGCTGGCAACGTAGGCGTCCACGACAGCTCCTCCCCTGGTGCGCGGAGGCGCAGGCGGCTCCCCGCGGCGACGCGAACGAGGAGGAGCTCGCCGGGAAGCAGGTGGTCGCTCCAGCCATTGAGGCCCGAGACCCCGCCCTCCTGCCGGAAGGCGGCCCCCGCCCCCAAAGAGGAGTGGAGAGTCTGCGAAAAGTGGTCCTGGCATCCTAGCGGCAGCGGCGGGGGGCGGGAGGCCGGGCGGGTGGGCTCCGCTGGCACCCAGAGGCGCGCGTGCACCACGGTCCCGAGGAAGAGCATGCGCGTCCAGACGTCTGCCCAACTGTCCGCATCTGCCTGGCCGCCCGACGGCCATGGGCCCGTCCGGAACTCCAGCAGCCGGGGCACCGCCGGACCAAGAGCGGCTCCCGAGGGTTCGAGGGGCGTCCTCTGTGCCACCTGCGAGAAAGGTGGAGCGCCCTCCAGCCGCGGCGCCTGGGCGCGACGCGGCCGCCAAGAGCTGGCGAATCGCGTCAGGCGTGCGCGGGGCGCGGTGACCTTGCGTCCGAATGCGGGTCGATCCAAAAGGAAACGCCCGGCAAGGCACCCCGGCAACCGTCACTTGGCCGCTGCTCCCCACCTGGATGCGCATGCGGTCGGCCGCAGGCGCCGCGACCCGAACAAGGCTCATGTTGTCGAACCTGTCGGTGGATGGGTCCAGGGCGTTGACTGTCGAGACGTGGACGGGGTGCGCCAGTAGGTCCTGCAGGCGGCGCGCGACGTCCCCGTCGGAGACCTGGTTTCTGGTGACCACCAGCCAGAGAAGATCATGGCCTGCCGTCGGCCCCGTAGTGGAGAGGAACCCCCGCGGCCTGTGGGCGTCACCAGCCCAGAGGATGCGGCTGGCCGGCGCGGCCGGGGAAATCCACTGGTCAAGCTGTGCCGCACGGACCACGCCCTCCGTGACTGCTGGGAGGAGGTCCAGCAGTAACAGCCCATCGATCCGCGCTGCGACGCGGCCACCCATCTGGAGAGCGGGCTCCTCCGCTGCGGCCACCGCTGCTGGGATGCTGCCGCGGGCCATCGGGATGTGCACGGCATGGTGCGTATCTCGATCCCGCCACCAAGTCAAGGTGAAGCCCTGGTGCTGGATGGCTGCGAGAGCACTTCCCAAAGTTGCGATGTCTGGGGCCGCTGGCGCTGACGTGACACGGATTGCGTGGTAAAGGAGTGGCGCCACGTGGGACCCCGCCTGGTGTGGATCGCTTCCGGGTCTGAGGGATTCGGTGGCCCACTCCATACTCAGGCCACGCGCCCTGGTCGCAGCCTGGAAGCGAAGGAGGGCCGCGTGCACGTGCGGGTCCAGGCCTTCGTGGAGTAGGATGTGCAGGCATTCGCTGGCCAGCTCGGCCGCTCCGGCCCAAGTCACGATCGTCTCCACAGGAGGGCGGGCTGGCTCGGGGCGCAAGGGCACCTGGAGGGCGAAGCACTGCACGGCGCGGCCGCGATCTGTCAGCGGCTGTCCGACCGCTGTCAAATGGGCTGCCATCGCGAGGTTCCGGGCTCCCCACTCGGCATGCGCCAGAAGACACAAGTCCGTGCCCGTTGCTACGCCCGGCGAGGCAGTCCGCCGGCAAGCGATAGCGAGGATGTCCACCGCTCGGTCGGCAGCGGCCAGCGCGGCCCGCAGAGCCTGGAGGCCGTCGTGGCGTAATCCTATGGCCAGCAACGCCGGGGGGAGGTCGTCGGCTGCCGCGCTGTCGGAGCTCGGCAGACCAGCTGCGGCAGCGTAGTATGCGTCCCTGCCGTCCTCCAGGCATGGTACGTCGAGGGCGTCCCCGTCCCGCGTGCCCACGAGCGCGTGGGTGCCCGCAGCCACGACCATGTAGGGGCTGACCTCCTGCACTGCTACTCGTACCACTTCCGGTGGGAGGCGGGTTCGGCCTTCGCCCGGCCAGGTAAGGCTGGTCAGCCTCATCAGCAAGCGGGCCCATGCCCCCGACGTGACCAGGGGCGCCTCGCCGCCAGGGCACGGGGATGGTTGTGTCGGCGCCGTGGCCGAAGCGGACGGCGGGCCAGGCGGGGGAGAGCCTGGCGGCGGCGCGGCTCCTCGGGGGGCTGCAGGTACTGGTACTGAAGTCGGTGCTACTGCTGGAGTCGGAGCTACTGGTCCTGACGTCGGTGCTGCTGTTGCTGGCGTCGGTGCTACTGGAACTGACGTCGGTCCTACTGGCACTGACGTTAGTGCTGCTGCTGCAGTCGGAGCTACTGGTACTGCCGCCGGTGCTGCTGGTACTGCCGTCGATGCTTCTGGTCCTGACGTCGGTGCTTCTGGTGCTGGCGCCGGTGCTGCTGGGAGGAACGTCGGTGCTACTGGTACTGACGTCGATGCTGCTGCTGGAGTCGGAGCTACTGGTACTACCGTCGGTGCTGCTGGTAGGGACGTCGGTGCTGCTGGTACGGGCGTCGGTGCTGCTGGTACTGACGTCGATGCTGCTGCTGGAGTCTGAGCTACTGGTACTGACGCCAGTGCTGCTGGTACTGCCGTCGGTGCTTCTGGTGCTGACGTCGGAGCTACTGGTACTGACGTCGGTGCTGCTGGAGCTGACGTCGGTGCTACTGGTAATGCCGTCGGTGCTACTGGAACTGCCGTCGGCGCTGCTGCTGTAGGCGGAGCTACCGGTACTGACATCGGTGCTGCTGGTACTAACGTCGGTGCTAGTGGTACTGACGCCGGTGCTGCTGGTACTGACGCAGGTGCTGCTGGTACTGCCGCCAGTGCTGCCGGTACTGACGTCGTTGCTGCGGCCGGAGTCCGAGCTACTGGTACTGACGCTGGCGCTGCTGGTAGGGACGTGGGTGCTGCTGGTAAGGACGTCGGTGCTGCTGGTACAGACGTCGGCGCTGCTGCTGGAGTCCGGGCTAATGGTACGGACGTCGATGCTGCTGGTACTGACGCCGGTGCTACTGATACTGACGTCTGTGCTACTGGCACTGACGTCGGTGCTACTGGCACTGTCGTCGGTGCTGCTGCTAGAGTCGGAGCTGATGCCATTGCTGCTGTTGACGTCGCCGCTGGTGCTGTCGTCTGTGCTGTTGCTGGTGCGGGCGCTGCCGTCGGAGCTGGTGCTTGCGTCGGTGCCGCTGTTGACGTCGGTGCTGCTGCTGGAGATGGAGCTGACGTCAGTACTGCAGCTGACGTCGGTGCTGCTGCTGGTGCTGGCGTCGGTGCTGAAGCCGGTGCCGACGCTGACGTCGGTGCTTGTGCGCGTCCTAGCGCCGGTGCTGCTGTTGACGTCGGTGCTGCAGCTAGGTCTTGAGCTGGCGTCGGTGCTGCTGTGGACGTCGGTGATGCTGCTGGTGCGGACGCCGGTGCTGCTGCCGGTACTAGCGCTGACGTCGGGGTTGCTGCTGCTGGTATGGCCGTCGGTGCGGCTGTTGAGGTCAGTGCTGCTGCTGTTGATGCTGTCGGCTGCGACGCTGTTCCTGCGGGCGTGGGCCTCGATGCTGTCGCCGGGCGCGCCCCCTGCTGGTAGCCCTCGATGGCGGCGAAATCGTTGCCTGCCGCCAGACTTTGCGATGGGGCTTGGCCCGGCTCTGCCGCGCGATCGGAGGCCGCGGAGGCCGGTGGGCCGTCAGGGGCGCCGCCGACAAGGCCTGGCCGAGACGGCCTCGTGCCACCTTGCTCCACGTTTCTGAGGGCCGCGGCGGCGGCAGGCGATGCAGCAGCTGTCCCCGGTTCGGGGCCCGTCGGGATTGCTGGCGCCACACTGTCGGTGGCCGTGATGCCGTCGCCGCCCAGGTCTGCTACTAGCGCTGGCTCCGACGCCGGACCTCTGGACCCCTGGGCCGTCGGATGCGCGCCAGGCAGGCGGTCGTCCATGGAGTCGCCGGACGATCTGCCTGCCGCTACGGGGGAGGTCTCCAGGCCGCTCGTCGCCGCCTGGTCGTGGTCGTTGCTCGACTCCGCGGCTGCTGCACGCTGGGCGACGCCGCCCTGACCTGCCTCGTTCGCAACTGCCCGAGATTCGGGGAATGCCAGCCCATCCTCGTCGCGGGCGGCTGAGGGTTCCGGTCCTGACGTCGGTGCTTCTGGTGCTGACGTCGGTGCTTCTGGTGCTGGCGCCGGTGCTGCTGGGAGGAACGTCGGTGCTACTGGTACTGACGTCGATGCTGCTGCTGGAGTCGGAGCTACTGGTACTACCGTCGGTGCTGCTGGTAGGGACGTCGGTGCTGCTGGTACGGGCGTCGGTGCTGCTGGTACTGACGTCGATGCTGCTGCTGGAGTCTGAGCTACTGGTACTGACGCCAGTGCTGCTGGTACTGCCGTCGGTGCTTCTGGTGCTGACGTCGGAGCTACTGGTACTGACGCCGGTGCTGCTGGAGCTGACGTCGGTGCTACTGGTAATGCCGTCGGTGCTACTGGAACTGCCGTCGGCGCTGCTGCTGTAGGCGGAGCTACCGGTACTGACATCGGTGCTGCTGGTACTAACGTCGGTGCTAGTGGTACTGACGCCGGTGCTGCTGGTACTGACGCAGGTGCTGCTGGTACTGCCGCCAGTGCTGCCGGTACTGACGTCCAGGAGCAACATAACCCATATTGTGTTTTCTCCGCTTTCCCTTGGTCCTCATTGTTTTTCGGTTACATGCTCGCGGTATTTGTTGTGTATATTGTTTTTCTCGTTTCTCTTGTATTTTGGAAGGTTCACAAGAATTTGTCCGGGCTTTAGAAGAGAACTGTTGCAGGGCCGCCGAAAAAAATAATCCGGCGGCCAAAAAATTAATGTTTTTGTTTCGTAACGCCGCGACAACAAGACGAATTTGTCTTAAAGCCGCCACGAAAAAGGAGCCCTGTTGTAAGGCCGCCGCAACATGAAACCTTCTGCGCCGCAGCCGGGTTTTTCTCGGCAGCCAGCTGCGGGAATCACATGGAATTGAGAGAAAACAGCAAGGCGCAGGGATAAACAACGAACCGCATAAAAAGGTAGTGTGGTTTCATACGTGTCTTTTGGTCTTCATGTTGGTTTGTTGTGTTTGTGCGGTCACCTTATGTTGTCCTCACTATTCATCGTGATTTGCAGTGTTCCCTTTGTCTGTCGGAAGGATTACAAGGAGTTGCCAGGGCACCACACACCATACTCATTCGGTAAGGCCGACACAACATGAATTATTCTTGCAAGGCCGCCACAAACAGATGTTCTTTAAGGCCGCCATACTAGGAATCCTTCGATGGGCTTCCACAGAAGTGCTTATGTGCATGGCCTCCACAACAAAGAACCCTTCTGTAGGTCGCCACAAAAAAACGCCAAGAAACCAACCGCACTTGGAGCAAATTGTGAGGACCACAGTGCGTGTGCTGGTGCCCACCACAGTGGCACGTGTGCGCATGAGTGTACGTGCGCAATGTAATGTCAACAGTGCGCGCGTGCAGAACAACAAATTCATGTTCCTGTATGCCTCAGGTTACACGTGTTTGTCACAATTTCTGTGCACGCGATGCGCATTGCCATACCGGCAATGCACTTCGCAGCGCCACCCGCTCTGCAATGCTAGTGTTTTCTTTTGCCCATCACTATGACTATGTTTAACGGCCACGGCCGGCATTGCCAGCGATCTTGTGCACCGCGCGCTGTGCACCGCCAGCCGGTATGCATGGATCGACGTGTTATGTTACTGGCAGTTGCAATGCGCGGTGTCAGGCGTGTTCGGAACGGGGCAAAGGAACACGATGATAATGAGGGCGCGGGCGGGAAAGTTGAGGCGATGATTGAGACGATGAGGAACAGGTATGGAGCAAGAGAGGGGAGGATAACGACCAGGATGAAGGTGAGGAATTGACATGGCTCTTTCCCGGGAGCTTGCTCAACAGGAGGCATATGTCACAGAACGCCGCCCCCCGTCCTCGCCCATCTTTAAATGTGCAAAGGGAGGGGCTCGTCAACTGCCGCGCATTGTTGCGCGCTTCGGCGGTGCAGCCGAGCGCTGCGGCGCACAGTGCTCGAGCGCACTAGGGTCCGCGCGTGCGCCGCAGTGCATATGTTCATTCCGCTGCCTGCGTGCCACAGGGCGCCTGCTTGCGCTTTAATGCCCGTGCGCGCGCATGCGCGGCGCCCCGCGTGCGGAGCAATGCCTGCTCGCACCGCGGCGCGCCAGCGCGCGCGCGCCCGCGCCGCGTCGCCGTCGTTCCTGCAACATCTTCGGGGGGTCCCACGGCGAACCCAACGGCAGCCCGTTCGACGCAATGCTTGTGTGCAACGCCAGGATTGCACGCGGCAGCCTGCACGCGCGCGTTCCACGACGCGCGCATGCAGCGCAAGTCTTGCGCGCGCCGCAGTGCCGAGAGAGAGCGCGCGAGCCGCAAGTTCTTCGCGCGCGGGCCGCAGCGCGCGCGCAACGCATTGGGCCGCGCGCGCGCTGCGCCTGCTGGCGCTGCCCATTCGCCAGCAGGGACTCATGCGCCGCAGTCGTAAGCACCCACATTACGAAAGTGGGCAGTTTTGCCGGCCTGGTCTTACATGCGCGCGCAGCGCGGCGCGCAGTGCCCCGCCCCGCCACTCGCCCCGCTTTGAATGGAGGGGGAAGGGGGACTCGCCAACAGTTGCGCGTCGCTGCAGGCTTTGGCGGCGCAGCCGGGCGCTGCGGCGGGCGGAACTTGAGCGCGCCACGCGGCGCGCTTTCGCCGCTGCTGCGTTTGCGTTCGCCCCTGCGCCCGCGCGCGCCAGTTCGCCTGCTTGCGCAGTAAGTTGATGAGATCCACAGTTTTTTAAGCGATGTTGTGGGCAACATCGCAAATGAGGTGCGGAAGGCGGTGAGGGAGGCGGGCGTGCGATGACGAATACGGTAAAAGTGGCGAGCGCGCGGGGGAGGTTTGGCGACCGCGGGGAA